CGTCACATTCAGGAACAACCTGAACCCCGAGTGGGACGAGGTGGTCTATGTGCCTATCCACAGCTCTCGCGAGAAGATCACGTTAGAGGTCATGGATGAGGAAACCATCAACAGCGATCGATCACTAGGTGCCACAGAAATCAAAGCTGGCGACTACGTTCGGGAGAATGAGAATGGCGAATATGAAGTTGATGACGAGAAGCAGCTCATCTCCAGCGGCCTCCGTCTTGGAAACGGCTCCCCTAAAGGAACTTTGAACTACTCGGTGGCTTTCTATCCAGCTCTTCCTGTGGTCAACCCCGAAGAGGAATCCGAAGAGGAATCGGACGACCTTGGTGGCGAGACGGAGGGTACGGAACTGACTCGTAAAAGCACGGAGTCCAAGCGCAAGAGTGCGGCCGGACATTCCAAGTCTGCCAGCATCGATTCCAAGACCTCTGCTGCTCCTAACGGAACCAATGGCACAAATGGCACCAACGGAACTACTACGAACGGTCATGCGGACGCCGCGAGCAGTCGTGCTAGCCTCGATACAAATGGAGCTCGCCCGCAAACTGCCAAGGATTCGGAGACGATGTCCATCAGGTCCATCAAGGAGGCTCCCAAGACGTACATCTCTGTGGAAGATCTTCCCAAATACGAATGCGGTTTCCTGGTTTTCAACGTTCACGAGGTTCAGCTTTCCCGGCACAATGTCCAGGTGGAAATCCTGATGGACGATTACATGTTCCCCGCGTACAGCTCCCCCAAACTCCGTACGAAGGCCGCCAAGCTTGAGGATGTTGGTGATGCGTTCGTTCGTGAGCTCGAATTCTCCAAAATCACGATGCGGATCATCGACAAAAAAGACACCAAGGATGAGAGCGACGATCACACGATTGCCAAGTTGACGGGTGATACGCTTTCCACTCTGCAGCGGATTCTGTACACCCCGACTGAGTTGGTTCTTCGGGGCAATGACGGAGAAGTCAGCAAGATCACTGTCAGTGCCCGGTACATCCCGGTCCAGATGAAGCTCGACCCCACTGAGAGTATCAACAACATGGGTACTCTGCGGGTGGACGTCATGGATGCTGCTGATCTCCCCTCGGCCGACCGCAACGGCTACAGTGACCCGTACTGCAAGTTCCGCCTCAATGATGAGATGGTGTACAAGACCAAGGTGCAGAAGAAGACCCTCCACCCGGCATGGAATGAATTCTTTGAGGCCCCTGTCAAGTCCCGCCTTGGAGCGTCTTTCCGCGTCGATGTGTACGACTGGGACTTCGGCGACAAGGCCGATTACCTGGGCGGCACACCGATTGATCTTCAGGTCTTGGAACCTTTCCAGAGCAAAGAAGTGACATACCCCCTCGATGGCAAGTCCGGTGCTATTCGGTTGAAGCTGCTGTTCAAGCCGGCCTATGTGGTCCGGTCTCGACAAGGGTCATCGACATTCCACGGCACATTCGCCACCCCCGGCAAGATTGTCGGCGCCCCCGTCAAGGGTGTGGGATTCGTGGGTGGCAATGTGATCAAGGGTGCGTCTTTCTTGAAGCATGGTCTCATGTCACGATTCCGCGCGGAAGACGAGGTTGCGGAAGAGGCCGAAGAAGCTCCCGCGGCCGAAAGTAGCCTCGCGCCGGCCGCTGTTCTGGTGGAGGGCGAGACGCCGCCCAGCTCCACCCCGAAGAACGAACTGCAGCACGCGCGCAGCCGCAGCGTCGCCTCTCATTATGGGGATCGACTGGGGGTGAATGGCAAGGGCGAGGCTGGCACGGCCACCATCTCGGTGGTTTCTGCTAGCGGATACCCGCCCAACGCACACGTGCGGGTGTTTATCAAGGCGGTTGGCCCCAAGGGCGCCAAAGATGTTCTGAAGACCAAGGCTCACAAGACGGGTGGTGGACCTGTGTTCTATGACCCGTCGCATGAGACCTGTCGGGTGCATAATACCACGGCTGATGCGCAGTACCAGGTGCGGGTAGTTGACCATGCCACTTTTGGATCGGACACGGTGCTGGGTGAAGGGATCTTCTTCGTCGACGATCAGGGATCTGTTGCCGGACAAGACAAGTCGGTCAAGGCGGGCAGTGGCACGGTTACCCTCCGGAGCAGTTTTGCGGTGACGGAATCCACTCTTCGGCCCGGCACTGCTCACTCCAACACGAACGATGCGGCGTCGGAGCTGATGGACAGCCCTGATTCCAAGAAGGCCGGTCGACGCAGCTTCCTCAGCAAGCGGAACGTCAGCGGAGCTTGATGGGGGTTTCTGGCCATGTGTTGCTATTGCTTAACTAACGACCTGAACTATTTCTTTTCTCTCTTCTTTCATATACTATCTTGCTTTGCTCTTTTTCTTGTCTCGCTGTTTCCTTTTTGCATTTGGGTCGAGATGAACGAAGATGTGATACCTATCCTTGGGGTGCTTCTGCCCAGTTAGCGTAGCGTTTGGATAATGAGAATACTCGGGGCGACTGGATCAGACGCTTTGCTATTTTTGCTGTGTTTTGCTTGTATATATTATATATTTCTATATCTATATCGGGTTTTCTCTTCTCATTGTTAGGATTTTTTTTTGCTTTTTTTTTTTTTTTTCTCCCATCTGGATGATTTCTGTAGGGACTCTTCACTATAGGGAGAGATTCGATGGCGCCGGACGATAGCCGTCCGCCATTGTCGACCAAGTGGGGCATTCATCAATCCACTTTACAGGGGCAGTAGAGGTTCTTTCTAGACTTTCCTGGTCAGTTCGATGGCTACACTAGTCAACGAGGGACAGTGCTTGTATTTTCAGTTTGAGTGCCTGCTTGCTCCTTAGGGCGAGGAGTCTTCCAGGCCGATCACGTCTTTAAGCAATAGCTTGTGATGAATGCATTGATGGTGGTCAGTAGGTATAGAGCAAGGGAGGTGGCGCCCAACGTGGAGTGCCAGTGCCAGCTGTCACTGAACTACGTATCTCTTTTTAAGGCAACGGGTGGCGGCGGGCGAGACAGAGGAAGAAAGAGAGCACGGTGGTTCGTATCGTGTTTCGGACTGACATACATTAGTTTGGTTTAGCCGGGTTGCGTAAAGGGGGGTTAAGGTCAATGGAATTGTACTTTATCCCTTTTCTTTTTTTTTTTTTTTTTTTTTTTTTTTTTTTTTTTTTTTTTTTTTTTCAGTACTCCGATCTTACTGAAGAAATTCAGGTCGAGTGTGTAGGTTTATTTTAACTCGGAAGTGTTTGATGGGGGGTGGTGGTTGTTCCGCGGAGTACGGAGTTATCATTTTACTTGACTTTTTTTGCTTGGGAAGTAGTTGGTAGTAGTTGCAGTTGGTTGGGAAGGGAATTGTAACTTTACTGCGGTTGCGGTTGCGGTTGCGGTTGTGCCGGGGAGAGGGGGAGGGAGAGAGGGGGTTTGGTTTACTCCGAGATAGTACGGAGTAGCTTAGCTAGAGCTGAGTAGCTTTTGGGGGCAGGAGAAATAGGAGACGTCACGGGAAATTAAATCGGGAGGCTTGAGGTTTTCTCTTTCTCTCTCGTTGCCGTAGAATTTATTATTGTTTTGTTTTTGTTGATACATCTTCGGGGGAGACCGAGGAGGGTTTTTTATTATTAGGAGATTGGATTGATATGTGTTGTTGTGGTGGTGGTGGAGGGATCTATTGATTTGAGAGTGAGACTTGATCAATGATCAATCAATCAGCAATGGGATTGGGGGTTAATAGATGAGATGGGTAGCTACTAGTAGTTGGGTGGGTGGTTCATACATGTAAATTTCTCTCTGGGCGTGGGAGGGAGCTCCGAGCTCTGGCCGATTAGATGATTGCCGTGATCTATATACTACATAGTTGTATGCGAGGTTGGCAGTGAGAGGTTCTGACTGCTGTTTCTCTTCGCAATGCTGTCCGTAGTCTACTCTGGAAAGACGAGGATATAGCCTCAGTTTCAATTCAGATGAACCGTCGTAGACAGACTCGTAGTCGACTACGTACGTACGTACATACATACCGCAAGCTGGTCTGGTCTCATTTAAATTCAACTCCAGTTTTGCTGACGAGGTGTTTTGGTGGGGCACGCAAGCAAGCCTCCGTAGGGAGGGAGATTGAACCCTGAATTGAGAAAAGGGGGGGGGGGAAGTCAAAGCACTGCTGGCTGCACTGATGGGTCTAGAAGGGGATGGAAGAGATACACCGGCTGCGGCTGTCAGATGATGTCTGGCTGGTACGTACTCGTAGGGAAGGTGGATAGGGAGGTTGTGGATGTGGATGTGGATGTGGATGTGTTGGTAGAGACTGCATGACAGTTGTTCATCTGCAATGCTGTCTGTCTGTCTGTCTGTCTGTCTGGCGGTGCCCTGGAATTCAATTGATGGTTTGGTTTGGACGAGGAGGGGTAATTCTGTAAGTATCTAGATCGGCAAAGTAAAGAGATCGGATGGATAGGTGCACATAGTGGGAATGAAGAAGATTGACCCGATCATCCTGTCACGGATTGTTGTCTGGGCTGAGTGACTGAGTGACTGAGTGAGAGGTTGACTGCTTGTAATGCCGTTTGGCTACCTAGTATCGTGAACTGGAAGGAGAGAGAAAAAGCCTGGACCAGCGAGTGAATTGGGAGAAACGAATGGAGTACTAAGAATAGCGCCCCTCTTTGGCTCCGAGGTCTTTGGCTGCCCCTCCCGACCAAGGAAGTTAAGAAACATTACTAGGTATTTGTTGGGCTGCGCGCAAGTCCTATCAGCCTGTCAGGTATTGTCACGGGCCCCTTGCCCCTGAGACTACCGGTTAGGGTGGATTAGGGTAAGATTGGTTATGACTCGGTATCCATAATTCATAGCTGAGACTCTCTCATTCTCCCATTCTCCCCCTCTTCCACCTTCCACACCCCCACTTGGTCCCGCCGAAAATAAATAACCCAAAGCCAGACTTAAGACATCGTCATCGTTTATCCAGAGGGAACAGGAAGGGGAGAAAAAAAAGAATACTAATAAATAACCTCTCTCATCCTCATCCAACCTGGTTCACTCTGTTTAGTTTTTTTTCCCTCTTCCTCTCTCTCTGCTCTTGATCCTACATCTCTAATCTCTCCTCTAACTACCTCTTCCTCCCCCCTCCTCATTCTCCCCATTCTACAGTAAGTAACTTACCGTCCACCTCCCCCTCTTCCCTTCGCATTCCCCCGCTCTTCCCCTGGTCGCTGGTTGTGTCTTGTCGCACCAATGATTGGGTCCATGACGGCAATCTGTCGACATCGACCAGCCCTTTATCCAACCTACCAATTCGATCGACACACACACAAACACACAGACACACAGACACACACCCTAACAGGCGTCGTGGCGAGAAATCCATCATCATTAAAAGGACTACCCGTTGGTCCATTTTAGAGCACTTTTCCAGTTTCCAGCCTACCCCTCCATTCTGACTTCCCGGTTTCAGCTGTGCTGTTGATACACCTTAAGGTACCTAAACTAACTAACTGTCGCGGATCCACAGTAGCAGCTTTCTGTCCTCCTCCTCCTCCTCCTCCACCACCCCGCTCCCACCTTCCTCACAACTTCGTCTTCTGCATTCTTTCTCTCCCTCTCACTATCTCTCTCTCTTAATCCTCCCCGAAATCACTACCTTCACAATGGCCTCCAAAGCTTTGCCCACTCACCTCAGAGCTCCTGCCGGCGATGCCAGCTCCGGCTCGTTTGGCAAGCACCATGGAAAGTCTCAGTCTCACATGGTAAGTTCGACTTTGTTTCTTCGTTATCCGGCTCTTGCCTGGTGTCGTCCCAAATGTCCATTCGCAAGGTGGAAAGTGCAGTGAACAGAGTGCGCCTGCCAGACCAAGCAGCCTGCGACTGGCGTGGTAGTGGATAACTCCAGATCCCCTGCTTCTTTCCTTTCTCTCACAACTGTTCTCATCTCCACCACCATCATATCGCATATCCATACCCCCTTCAAGCAAATGCCAAATTTTGACTGCTCCGTTGCCTTCTGGGCTTTGCCTTTCGTTGTCATTGCTTTTTATCGTCTACAATATCACCCGCAGAACCTTCGCCATCATACCTATCATCATCACGGCCGGCCTGGTACCAGTCACCTTTTCAGGCTTGTGGTGCTTTTTTGACAGGAATCCCCTCGCTGAATGCCTCACCTCGACCTGCTCTTCTTGCCGTTTTCCGTTGTTGTTTGTCTTCACTCTTTTAGAGACGCTGTACTTCGCGCGGCTGCTCGTGATTTGCCAAATCATTGCCAATCATCGCTTTGGCCGCACTTTTCTGTTATTTCTTTTTGCTGCGCTCGGCAACCTATCGCATAAACTGTCCCTTCTGGAGCTCCTGAAACTCCTCTGTGGTGTCATTACCTCGGGTCAGGCACGGGATCTTCTGGCCCACCGTCTCCTCCTTCGTCTGGCCTGGCACGCCCTCTTCTGGACAAACTTCCACAGTTTAGGGCTATTGCGAAGAGCTGCCCTGTCCCTTTACCTGCGAATGGGACGCCGGACACTCGCACCCTGGATTTCTGCGACCATTGTTAAGATAGTTTCGTTACTAATGAGCATGGATACCCAGGCCTTCGAAAATGCCTCCACCAGCGTGGCTGCCTCTCAGATGCGCAACGCCCTGAACGCCCTCGCCGAGACTGTTCCCGATGCCGCTGAGCGCAAGCGCTTCGAGGCTGAGATGGACAACTTCTTCGCCCTCTTCCGCAGATTCCTCAACGACAAGGCCAAGGGTAACGAGGTCAACTGGGACCGCATCGCTCCCCCCCAGCCCTCTCAGGTGGTTGGCTACGATGAGCTGGGTGCTGAGGCCTCTGTCGAGTTCCTGAACAAGCTGGCTGTCGTCAAGCTCAACGGTGGTCTAGGTACCTCCATGGGATGCGTTGGCCCCAAGTCCGTCATTGAGGTCCGTGAGGGCATGTCCTTCCTGGATCTCTCGGTCCGTCAGATCGAGCACCTCAACCGCACCTTCAACGTCAACGTTCCCTTCGTCCTGATGAACTCCTTCAACACCGACCAGGACACCCAGTCCATCATCAAGAAGTACCAGGGCCACAACGTCGACATCATCACCTTCAACCAGTCCCGTTACCCCCGTATCATCAAGGACTCTCTCCTCCCCGCTCCCAAGTCCTTCGATGCTCCTCTCCAGGACTGGTACCCTCCCGGACACGGTGACGTCTTCGAGTCTCTGTACAACTCTGGTACCCTCGACAAGCTCCTGGAGCGCGGTGTCGAGTACATCTTCCTGTCCAACGCTGACAACTTGGGTGCCGTCGTGGATCTCCGCATCCTGCAGCACATGGTTGACACTCAGTCCGAGTACATCATGGAGTTGACCGATAAGACCAAGGCCGACGTCAAGGGTGGTACCATCATTGACTACGAGGGCAAGGTCCGCCTGCTCGAAATCGCTCAGGTGCCCAAGGAGCACGTGAACGAGTTCAAGTCGATCAAGAAGTTCAAGTACTTCAACACCAACAACATCTGGATGAACCTCCGCGCCATCAAGCGCGTGGTTGAGGAGAACGAGCTGGAGATGGAGATCATCGCCAACGAGAAGTCCATCGCTGCTGACAAGAAGGGCGAGGCCGACCAGGCCATCTACCAGCTGGAGACCGCCGTGGGTGCCGCCATCCGCCACTTCAAGAACGCTCACGGTGTCAACGTTCCTCGCCGTCGTTTCTTGCCCGTCAAGACCTGCTCTGACCTCCTGCTGGTCAAGTCCGACCTCTACCGCCTGGAGCACGGCCAGCTGGTCATGGACCCCAACCGCTTCGGTGGTGTTCCCGTCATCAAGCTCGGCTCCGACTTCAAGAAGGTCTCGGACTTCCAGAAGCACATCCCTAGCATCCCTCGCATTGTCGAGCTCGACCACCTCACCATCACCGGCGCTGTCAACTTGGGCCGCAATGTGACGCTCAAGGGTACCGTCATCATCGTTGCCACTGAGGGCAGCACCATTGACGTTCCCCCGGGCTCTGTGCTCGAGAACTGCGTCGTGCAGGGCAGCCTGCGTATCCTGGAGCACTAGATGGTTGGTTGACGTTTGGAGATTCAGTTCTCAACCCAATGGCCTGGGGACTGAGAGGCGGAATTGGCATGGACTGATTAGACCTGTCTATACTAGCAGCGGGGGGGGGGGGGGAAACGTATTTTTCTCTTGTCTGCATCATCCTTTTTCTGATTGAAAAGATGTTGTGATTCACATATTTCCAGGTAGTTTTCCACCACGGCCATGGCTTCGGGGCGGGAGCAAAACTTTTAGTTTAGTTATCCAGCGACCTGCTCTCTCTTCTTTTCCTCTGCCCTTTCTGCCTGCGGTCTGCATGTCCCCCTTGTTATTTAGTGTTGTTTAATAGGAAAGCATTCGGACGTCCTCACTCCTGCGCGGCCAGCCTGCTGGGTCCAAGGTGGCATTCCCAGGAGAAAAGTGCCGATTGTGGACCGGGTTTAGTTTACCTAGTTGGCAGGAGATATCACCGTACGTAATATCCATCTATCTTTCTTTCTGGTTTTTTTTTTCTTTCTTCAGCCGATTCCGGTTTGCCTTTTTCCGTTTTCCGTTTTCCGAGAATAAAGTTTGTACCTCCGATCCATCCTTGTTTTTTGTAGGCTTCTTTCAAGTATGAGCATGAGTTGGGCTCTTTTGGCTCTTTTGGCTCTTTTGGCTCTTTTGGCTCTTTTGGCTCTTTTGGCTCTTTTGGCTCTTTTGGCTCTTTTGGCTCTTTTGGCTCTTTTGGCTCTTTTGGCTCTTTGGCTGGTCTCGACTTGACATGTGATTGTCCGACTTGGCCCATCCGGGACTGTCTTCCACCTCCCGCTGGTCTTGGACATTTTCTCCGGACGGTTCAAGCTGCAATCAACTTGCTCGACGGACAGCAGAACCACAGCAGAACCACAGCAGAACCACAACAGAACCACATCAGAGCCACATGCAAGGACTGGTTCCAGGTGTCATCGCCGTCACCTCCATCTCGAAGCGGATACTCCTCCCAGATATGCCATGGTGATTGGCATGTTGCAGCCATGCATAAGCGGCTATGATTCTCCCCCGCCCGTCCTTATGCTTCGGACGAGGTTTCCTGACGCCTCTAACGTAGGTGGTACCTTGAAGTTGTACGTCACCACCAGGTCAACTGGAAGTTACAGCATGTCTTAGCAGAGAACGAAATTGTCTGACAGGGTAGGCAGCTCTTTGGTCGCTCGCGTTCCGTTCTCGACTCCGCGTGCCCCGACCCGACCAGATCTGCATTGTATGTACAGTACCGCACCGCACCGCACCGCAACGCAACGCATCCTCAGCACCACCATCACCACCAATAGACTCATTCTGGGCACGATGAGTGAATTCGGCAGCCAACACCGCCAGATTGCTCCCGGGCCTTCACCTAGCAAATCAGAGAAGCCTCCGTCGCGGGAGAGCTCGCCAGACAGGACTTTTCCGACCCCAAGCGATGGCTCCAAGAAACGGGTGTCAATGGCATGTCTGGCCTGCAAGAAGTCGAAACGAAAGGCGAGTCCCCCACCTGCGCGTGCTACTGCATCTGTGTGTTGTGTCGGTTGAATAAATGTTATCACCCCATCAGCAAAATGCAGCAGCTGCTCGCCACGCCTTCCCCCCCACCCAACCGTCACGACAAGGAGCCGTTGTTGACATAGAACACGACCTTTGACAGTGCTCTGGAGTGCCGCCGTGTGATAACTGCCGGGCCTTCAACCGACAGTGTATTTTCGACGAGACCTTGGACCAGCGCCGGAGAGTGGCAGCCAAACGCACCGCCGATGAGCTGAGCTACCATCGGGACATGCTGAATGACCTGCTGAAGGTGATGCGCGCTGAGGATCAATCCTACGGGTTGAAGCTGCTGGAGATCATCCGGAATGATGCCTCGGCCGAGGAGATCCGTGCATTCATTGATGAGATCCTGGGCCAGGATGGTGGAGAGAGCAAGGTAGGGGAGGAGGCCGGGTGCAAGCTGGAGGAGGTCCGCCGCGTGATCGACGTGGAGGGGGCTGGGCCTTCTTTTCGCCCCAAGGTGATGGATATACATTATCTTTGTGACGAGGTGCCGTACCGCGTCCCCGCCAGACCATGGACAACAGTGACTGAGGATGCAGACCTCGTCTCACATTTGGTGTCCTTGTATTTCACCTGGGACTATCCATTTCATGCCTTCCTCGACCGCGAGGTCTTCCTCGAGCATATGCGACGGGCCAATCCCCAGTCGGAGTTCTGCAGCCCATTCCTGGTGAACGCTCTGCTCACGAATGCATGTGTAAGCTTCGCCCTTTTGTCTTTCTGTTTCCATCTTTGTTTCTCCCTCTGGTGGTCGACTCTTTAGACAATGACCAAGATGGAATATCAATGCTGAACTATCGCACTTCTCGGATAGCTTACGATCGCAGACTGACTGAGGGAACTGTACAGCACTTTTCGGACTACTCCGAGGCATACGTTGATCCGGGGGATGTTGTGACCAAGGGAGTCGATTTCCTGGCAGAAGCGGAACGTTTGAGGGAGGAGGAGCCTATGAAGTTGAGTCTGGCTTACTTGCAAGGCACACTCTTGCTATACGAGAGGTGAGTCGGTTGATCGGTCACTATCAAACTCAACGCGTAACCGATGCTCGAGGTATTCGATGTCGGGCAAGGATGATCTTGGGTATTGCATGCTCCACCAAGCCATCGAGACCGGTCATTCCCTAGGGTTGACCGGTCCGAGGAGCCCTAGTCTCATTCCAGGGCAGTTACCCAACGATTTGGATATTTCGGTCAAGCGATCGGCCTGGGGCCTGTTTCATATCGACACGTGAGTCGTTCCATTCCGGTTTGCCGCTGACATTCTGAGGTCCGAGCTGTCTTCTTAGGGTTGTGCATGCCGAGTTCTTGCGGCCCAGCTTGATAGACCAAGTCAACTTCCAGCGACCGGACCAACATCATCAAGAAGATTCGAACCTGTGGGTGCCATACCCTTCTCACCGGCCTGCCCGGGCTTCCTATCTGAGCCAGTATTTCGATCACTCGTGTGATCTCTGCGAAATCGCCAGAGACATCTCTCAAACACTTTTCTCGCTCGACGGGAGCGTGGTGTCTATTGAGCACCAGCATAGGACCAAAGAACGGCTCTTCGAAAGGCTTCGCGGTTGGTACGCAACGTTGCCGGATGTGTTTGAGCCATGCCGTAGACCACCGCCTTATATCATATTGTTGAGGTGCGTTTGCAAAGTCCGATGCGCGCGTAATGACCTCTCGCTGACGACATTCTCAGAATGCGCTATCATACGCTGGTCATCAGTCTATTCTCCCACAACACCGGAGGGACTGAACGCATTCCAGGCTCCGAAGCCCCCCAAACGCCGGAGAGTCCACCCGGCTACAGTCCGCCCCTGAAATACAGTGCCCCCAGTATTGTGCAGTCGGCCGCACGTGCCATCTCTGCGCTGACGCTCCTCCATCGGCGCGAATACGGGATCAGCCGCGCGCATCACTTTGCCATGTACGCGATCAACCTGGCCCTGTTCACGTTGCTCGATCCCGAGTCCTTTGATATTCTGGATCAGGACTTTCTCTCCTTGGCCAGCTCCTTCTCCAGCATTGCTAGTCGCTCCCCATTGGGTCGAAGTCTGTTCCACATGTTCCGACAGACGGTGCGCGCCCGGGGTCAAGGCCAGCACCTGCGGGGGTCGAACCTCGTTTCGGATGAGCTCAAGGCGCTGTTTGACGAAGAGTCCACGTCACCCTCCCAGTGGGATGAATACGCCAAGGGGCTGGATAAGCTCAAGACGGATGAACGGTATCGTGGGCTCATGGAGGGGGAGCACAGTCTTTTTGAGATGCTGGACCGGTATGAGAGCTTGAGCCTGGGCAAAGACGATATTGCTTCCCAGCGGCCACGGAAATGAATGGGACTTTTGTTGTTGTTTTTGTTCGATGATTGAGGACGATGCTGATATGTCCCCTTTGATTAATTAAATCAAAATACCCCCGTTTTGTTTAGTGTGTTTTCGACCACAGAGCTCTGTGGAGTTTGCGTTGAAAGACTTCAATGAATGCAATGAGAATGGCTTGGAAGTAGAAGGAGAAGAAGTTAAGCAATTCGGAATTTTATTTTATTTTTTTTTCTTTGCAGCTGGCATAATCCCTGCTCTGGATAAATTTGGTCCCATCAATCAATTGCCACTCTTCCATGCATGTGGATGAGTGATAGACAATGGTATTCAAGGCCAACAATACTCGCCCGACGATCGAACAACTACCTCAACATGATTGCATGATTGAAGAAATGCAGATCAGCGTTTTATTGGCTCCAGCGAGCTTTGGTACATACAAGTAAATACCAAATACCGACCATCCATGATTGGAGAGTTTGAGTAGATTTTGGAGTTGAGTTGAGTTAAATTTTGGGAATGACATCATCCGCCATAAACTTTCCACGTCCACATGCCATCCATTCCATTGCCTCTCTCTCTCTCTCTCTCGCTCGCTGTCACTTCACACCACACTTTATTCACCCACTCACCCCCAGACCGTCCCCCAAAATCGTCCCTCAATCAATCTACCTTGAAGCTTGCGCCACTTGCTATTTTGCCCCTTCTTCTGACATCTCCTCTCCCCCAATTGCATGCAATTTCTCAAATGGGTTATACTCCTTCTGCCCCCGATATAATTCAGCAGCAGCTTCAGCAGCTTCAGCAGCATGGAGGACTCGTCGGGCTCATTCTTCCTCGGCTTTTCCTCCGTCAATGATTCCGAGTCGCGCACTGACAACACCACTGCCACCACCTATACCAACACCCCCAGCGGCAGCAGCGGTGTTGGCGGTGCCGGAGGAGGAGCAGCAGGGGGCTTCCTCAGCAGTCGAAGTGGGAGCTCCGACTGGTCGTGGGAAATCATAAGCAATTCCGCCTTGCCCCCAGGCTTGCCCCCAGGCTTGCAACCTGCCACTGCTACTCATACCGCGAACTTCCCAGCCCCCTCGCACGCTTTGCCTCTCCCTCTCCCACCGCCCCTCCCGACTACGACCACTATCACCAGCACCGCCTCTCGACAGCCCAAGCGCGATCGCTCGGAGCATCAGCACCAGCAGGAGCAATCCCGCTCCCGCAACCGTCCCATCGCTCGTCATCAATCCTCCTCCTCCTCGTCCCATGACATCGCCTTCGCCGGCCCGTCCAGACTGGCCGGCAAGGTGGCTATCCCCCGCACCACCAGCTTCAACAACCAGACCCAGCGCCGTCGATCCACGCGGGCATGTGAACCCTGTCGCTTGCGGAAGATCAAGTGCGAGGGGGACAAGCCAATCTGTCAGCAGTGTGCCGAACACAGCGTGACCTGTACTTATGTCGAAGTGAAGCGGGTGCGGGACCAGAAGAAACTGTGCTCGTTGACCAGTAAGGTGGGGATCTATGAGCAGCTGTTGCAGGAGGTGGAACCCACCACGGACGAAGACACGGCGAGGAGGATCCGGAGGGCGTTGAGGGTAAGTCTTCGCTTGTTTTCGGTTAGATGCGGCATGCTAAAGGTGCAGTAGCTACGGGTCTCCGATGGGACCACGCCAGAAGAGCCGCCGCCGAAAGAGAACGAGGGGTCTGAGTCGGATTCCTCGTCCATTGGCTCGCTCAATGAGTTGGATAGGGTGGATGAGGATCTGAACCGCAGTGAACGGGCCGTCGCGACAGGATTCTTTGGGAAGAATTCGGAGGTGTCCTGGTTGCAGAAGCTGGAGGACGAGGCCGAGCTGCGTAACCAACAGATGGAGGAACTCAACGAGGTGGACAGCAACAACAATGCGTCGGACGGGCAGCAGCAGATGCAGCAGCTCCTGCTGGTCCCGCAGCCAGCCCAGAAGCAGGAGACGCCCATTGCCGCCCTGAATTACTACCTAGATGACCTCGACATCCCCGTCATGGCGGAAGTCGACCCGTACGCGCTCCCGCCCAAGGACGTCGCTAACCGCCTCTTCCGGTTCTACATGGAGAGTGTGCATCCGTCCTTCAATGTGATCAGCAAAGTGTTCTTTGTCTCCCAGTATTCGCAATTCGTCATTCAGGGCAATCGGCAGATTGAACCGGGTGACCGGTGGCGAGCCGTCCTGAACATGATCTTCGCCATCGGGAGCCGCTTCTGCCAGTCGGTGTATGGGAAGAAGGGGGGTGACTACGATGATGTGATGTATTTGAACCGAGCACGGAAGCTGACCCTAGGCGAGAATGTCATTTTCGAGCATGCCAATCTCCAACAGATCCAGGCGGAGTTCTTGGTGGCGTTCTACTTCCTTTCCATGTGTCAGGTCAATCGGTATGTTCCAGCCCTGCGTCCCGGAGGCGAATTCTGAGTACTGACGAAGCCACACCAGCTCCTTCAAGTTTTCGAGCATGGCCTTTCGGTCAGCCGTTTCACTGGGTATAAACCTCCGCCTGGAGAATAGTGATACGTCGCGGGCTGCCAAAGAGGCTCGCTGCCGTCTGTGGTGGTCGATCTATCTCCTCGAGCATCTCTTGACGGCCATAACCGGCCGCGTCTCCTGCGTTGGGGAGGGCCTCAGTGCGACACCACTGCCAATTCCATTCGAGGAGGAGGCCTGGAACAGCCCAGAGGTTCGGCCCGTCCTAGAAGACCCGGCTCTGCGGATGAGCCGTCTCAAGCTCACCCTCCTTCAAAACGAGCTCGAAGCTACCACCACGGCCTCGTGGCTCGCAACCTGTGCGCCCAGTCCGTCCCTCTTCTTCCACCTCCTCGTGGACCTCTGCAGCATCACGCAGGCGATCATCAACAGAGTCTATAGCATCCAGGGCTTGCGCGACCGCGCCAGCCAGGTGGAACAGCGCATTCGCAAATATGACAACACCCTGAAAGTCTGGCTCATAAAGGTCCCGGCGCCGTACCGGTTCACCGTGAGCGACCAGGACGATACGTTCTATATCCCCCCACACCTGCAGAAATCCCACGAGCGTGAACGGACATCGCTCGCCATCAGCTATTACAGCGCTCGCATCACACTCTCGCGGCCCTGTCTCACGCGGTCCGGCCTCAAGTCCGGGTCGATGTCCCCCAACCCGGCGCATGCCTCATCCTCGGGCCAAAACGCCGCCCACAACTCCTCGACACGGAGCCAGTTCCGCAACGAGATGGCCCGCAACTGCGTCCGCTCCGCCTGCTCGCTGCTCTCCGTCCTGCCGGACACCCCGGACCTGCCGTGGCTGATCTCGGTCACCCCCTGGTGGTGCATCCTGCACTACATCATGCAGGCCACGACCGCGCTGCTTCTCCACCTGTCGTGCTGCCCGCCCGTGCTCCCGTCCACCGGCGGCGAGGAGTACGTCGACACCACCACCAGCGCCATCTCCAACCACCAACCGCCCACGGCGCTCGCCGACATCCACACCATGACCCACCAGATGAAGAAGGCCCTCCGCTGGCTCCACCACCTGTCGTTCACCCACACCGCCGCGCGGCGCGCGTTCCGGCAGTGCTACAGCGTTGTGCAGCGGATCGCCCCGAGCATTGGGATTGATATCAGCGATATCCCGGACGGGAGAGACCTTCCTGTGGATGAGGATATTTTCTCGCAAAAGGATGAGGATACTCTCGCCCAGAAGGACGCGGACACTTCCGTCCGGAACGATGAGGACACTTTCGCCCAGAACGACGCGGAAGACTACGAATCAACCGCCATGCAGATCGACGAGGAACCTCCGGCCCTTGACGTCGACGGTCAAATCGACGGCCAGATGGAACAAATGCTGTGAATACGACACCATCGAAGTACTATTACGTAGATATATATATATATAGTTGATCAAGTTTACGCGCGGAGTTTATTCTAAAGCCAAGCGAGCGAAATGGTGTCTGTCATTCCAGAGCGAGGCGTATCGATTTCTTTCTTACTGTTGTGTTCTTCTGGTTCTGTTTGATTTCTTTTGTATATTATTTCGGCTAACCCTGCTTGAACCCTTGTTTGTTTCTGAGTTCTATTGAAATTAACAGCCCAGCTCAACAAACCTGTCCCTCCAGCGCAATTTGTCGCCCCGTCTGTACAAGATGGATGAGGCCGATCTTGACCAAGCCTGTTTTTCACCCGTCTGGCTGGCTGGCTGGCTGGCTACTACATTTTCCTGTTGGCAGGAGCTAGGTATGGTATGGTATATCTATAGACTGTGCAATACAATACCAGTGGCGTGCACCGGTACTCCTTCCTACCCATCGAATCGAGGATACCATTATGAGTGATGGGTAAACAAACCCCCATCAAAAAGAGTCCGAGTCCCCGTAAATCCCTCAACTTGAATGAAGCTTTCTGAACTTGGGTTCTGTTCTTTCTCCTTCTGTGGTAAGATCTAGACTAGATACTTAAGAGTATACTTCAAACCAAGCACACCTTCCCTCCCATTCACTCACCTCTCATGAGATGAGACACAAGCACAGACATCCCAAACATCAAACATCAAAGACCTAACTAACCCTTCCCTACTTACCCATCACCAAATCCCCCCCCCCCCCCCCCAAAAACAACCAAAGCAGGAAAGACCACACACACAACGCACCCCACCCCAAACATAAAAAGAGGACACAAAAAAAAAAAAAAAAAAAAAAAAAAAAAAAAAAGATAAGACAAGGCCCGAGCCGCGGATCGAACGCGGGACCTCTCGCAGATATGCTTGGGGTTTTGTAATCCCTAAGCGAGAATCATACCACTAGACCACCCGGGCTTGTTGTTGCAGTTCTTCAGAAAGATTGGTGTCATGGCATGATGGGAACGTAGGGTAAGGGTAGCTGCATGCAGATTACTTAGCGGACAGGTTTATCTAACTGATACCTCGGATCGTTTTCAACCAACTAGGTAAGGTAAGGAAAGGGCTGGCTGGGTTCCTTCCCGCAGCGGGTCGATTGATTGAGTCGGTACCTATTTCCTTCCCGACACGCACATGGCAGCTATAGAGACCAGTCAGTAACCTTATAGAGCAGTAACAAATAAGTCAATTTCTGTTATATAAAAGGATCGATCCCCTTTCTTAGCCTGACCCGGGCCATCGGAATTCATATTAATTCCTATTTTGAGGGCACATCAGTACAGTACACAACCTATTATTTTATATATATATATTTTTTTTTTGGTCTACGACAGTTAAAAGCTAAGACTGCTTATCCTCACCTCTTTAAGTAAAGCTACAAGTAGTCTCTCCAGGACTAGCCTAAAACCTATAGTTACAAAAAAAAAAAAAAAAAAAAAAAAAAAACCCGAACTGGCGCAGGATTCAACCCCCACCACCGCTAGAATACATATGGGCAGCGAAGAAACAATCTTGTTCCTATTCTTGCAGGGAGATAACAAGCACCCGAAGGCTTTCCAGGAGGAGGCCCTTAACCGTTCGATCATCCGACTGGTGCGGTCTGCCCGAAGCGGTAGCTCTACTAACTTACCTACTCAACAGGTACACTATATACCCAGGTCCCTCGCTTGGCACACTGTAGATACAGTATCTTGGATGATGCTGGAGGATTGTACACCCACCCCCTCCATCTCCCTCTCTCTCTTTCTATATCTCTCAGCCTAATTCACATTGTATTGCTCTTGTGTTTGTAACAGACTAGATAATGAACTGGGCTCCTCCCTAGGAGCTTAATTAATGTAGGAGATTGAATCTGGGGTGTATCTTCGTATGATTTAAGTCACAATCCGCAGGCGCAAAGGCTGTAGAAAGACAAGACCCAGCTTGAGATAACAGAACCCAAATACAAGGGGTGCAATCGCAAAGAACCCGACCGGATGAAATCATATATACTTCATTGGTTATGTCTGCTATGCTATGCTATGCTAATAGACACCGAAGCAGGCTAAAGGCGCAGATCAACAGCGAACAAGACCAGGAAAACCGAACGCGGACCCCGATAGGCTTCATATGTAAGACGGGGTCGAGATGTTGATTGCTATGTCATCATGGATAGAAACAAGGCCAACAAACCACTATAATACTAGGCATAAACACAAGTGAATACAACGCTGAGGATACATCCCAAAAAAGTTCAGTGTGGGTTTGGTGATTAAATAATAACAGGTAAGAACCGGGCGGACGTTAGGCGGCGTGCATAAGAACATCGATGAAGGCGCCGTTACATTTGCTGAGGCATGATAAAAGCACGTTTTCGAGGATCGTCGTCCACAGGCGCGCTACGCTTCTGAGACGGATTGAGGGTCATTGAATCGGTGGCTTGAGGCTGGACATGAGGGTGAAGCTGAGGATGAAGGTTGAAGTGCGGGTGCTGGTGAGCATGGGCATGGGCATGTGCATGCGGATGTGGTTGTGCCTGGGCTTGCATCTGATGCGCTTGCATTTGATGCGCCTGGGGAAGATGGGGTTGCAGATGTGCTTGTGGTTGCAACTGCATTGGACGAGCGGCTTGTTGATGCACCTGATGCACCTGTTGCTGCTGCGGTTGCAGCTGTTGGGCATGGGTTTGCGTATGAGCAGGAGCGTGAGGCTGGTGTTGAGCTTGCATCTGGTGGCTCTGCATATGCGGAGACTGCAACTGATGAGCCTGCATATGCGGAGATTGAATCTGATGGGCCTGGAGATGAGGTTGAGGCTTGACCTGCATCTGATGTATTTGGAACTGAGGCTGCACGGCATTTTGAGCCTGTTGATGATGTGCAGGAGGTTGTTGCAGCTGGAACTGATGCAAATGCTGATGCTGAGGCTGGGACTTTGCATGAGCCTGAGCTTGCGGCTTGGTTTGAGCCTGCTGCTGAGCTTGTGGCTGCTGGCGGACCTGTTGCTGTGCTTGGGCCTGGGCCTGCTGCTGATGAGCCTGTTGTTGAGCATGTTGCTGTTGGTGAGGATGTTGAGCCTGGTGTTGGACATGTTGAGCTTGCTGCTGCTGTTGCTGGTGGAGATGAGCATGCTGCTGAACCTGTTGCTGGTGAAGGTGAGGATGCTGTTGAGCCTGCTGTTGCAGCGCCTGGTGAGATTGAGGCCGAGTCTGTTGCGGTTGTTGATGTGGCTGCTGCGCTTGCACCTGTTGCTGTTGTTGCTGAGGCTGTTGGGGTTGGACTTGCATCAACGGCGTTTGCTGTTGCGGCCGCTGGGGTTGCTGATGTGGCTGTTCCTGCTTAATCTGTGTCGAATCTCCTGGAGTCTGATCAGGGTTGACCCCCTCGGCTAGGGCTTTCGCTTGCGCTTCCGCCTCTTCTGCTGCCTTTCGTGCCAACACATCCGCCTTTCGGGGCCGCCCGCGAGGACGCCCCGTGCCCGGTTTAGACGAGGGCTTTTTAGGCGGCCGAGGCTTCGGGGGCTGATCGCCGCTCACCTCCGTCTTGCGTGGCCGTCCACGACCGCGCTTTTGTGGAATGATGGTCCCATCAGGCAAGACGATCGGAGGCAGCGGGGGTAGCTTTGGTCGCTTCTTCTTGGGAGGGGGTGGCGGCAGGGGGTTTCCATCGGGGCCAAGGGCTGGTGGTGGGGGAGGAAGGGGAACCGTGATGGGCACACCATCAGCACCCATGATCGTGGTAGTCTCCTGCGGCTTCTTGGGCTTTTTCGGCTTGCGAGGTTTAGGCACCTCCCCAGGAGCGAGCGGTTTGCGAGGACGACCTCTCTTTTTAGGAGTCTGACCATCACCCTGGGAGCCAGGAGGGGCTCCCGCGACAGACCCGGGAATGGCATTAGGCACAGCACCAGGAAGAGACCCCGCAGTGGCCCCAGGGACAGCGCTATGAGCAGCAGCACCTTGCGCGGAGCCGGCAGCAGTGGCAGTAGCCGAAGCAGGTGCAACACTAACGGGGGCCGTGGCAGGGGGTTTGGCAGGGCTGCCAGCACCAGGCTGTTGTTGGCTCGAAGGCCCCAGTTGAGCTTGGAAAACGGGATGGAACTGCCCGTTGATGTGCACCCCAGCGGGGACTGGCGATGCAACGGGCTTGGCCTGTTTCTTCCGTGGTTTACTAGGTGCAGTCCTCTTCTCCGCAGTGGAGGTGGATGTCTGTGGCGGACGCTGCTGCTGGGATTGAGTCGGAGCTTGAGTCTGAGGCTGGGTCTGCGGGTGGGCCTGAGGCTGGGCTTGTGGCTGGGCCTGGGGTTGGGTCTGCGACTGGGTCGGAGTCTGAGCCTGGGGCTGAGCCTGCGGTTGACGAGCTTGGGGCTGTATTTGGTGGTGCTGAATGAACTGGTGTTGCTGCTGCGGTTGCTGATGCATGAGATTGTGCTGTGGCTGGTGCTGTGGCTGTTGCGGTTGGTGCTGCTGCGGTTGTTGATAATGATGTTGATAATGATGGAACTGGAGCTGTTGCGGTTGGGATTGGAAAGGAGATCGCTGAGCATGTTGTTGGTGAAACCGGGCCTGCTGCTGTTGCTGATAGGTCTCTTGCGTTTGTTGCTGTTGCTGAGCCTGCTGCTGCCGTTGAGCGGCTTCTTGCTGGGCCTTGAGTTGAGCTTCCTGCTGAGCTTTCCGCTGCTGAGCTTCTTGTTGGGCCTTCAGTTGCGCTTCTTGCTGGGCCTTGAGTTGTTCCTGCTGCGCCTTCAATTGTTCCTGCTGGGCCTTGCGCTGGGCCTCTTGCTGGGCCTTGAGTTGAGCTTCTTTTCGCTGCTGGGCCTCTTGCTGGGCTTTTAGTTGAGCTTCTTCCTGGGCCTTGCGCTGGGCTTCCTGCTGCGCTTTCAGAGCCTCCTGCCTCCGCTGCTCTTGCAATTTCAGTTGAGCTTCTTCCTGTGCCTTGCGTTGAGCCTCCAATTGAGCCTGGCGTTGAGCTTCGGCCTGAGCCTGACGCTGAGCCTCCTGCTGCGCCTTCAGATGAGCTTCCTGCTGGGCCTGCTGTTGCTGCTGGAACGTCTGCTGCGCATGCTGCTGGTACGGCGACTGCTGGGCCTGGGTCTGATAGGGAGAGGCCTGATGCGGGGACTGCTGATACTGCGCATGGAACTGAGGCAGCTGCTGAGCCTGAGACTGGTACGGCGATGCCTGCTGAGTCTGCTGAAAAGGCGATTGGTGGAATTGATGCGTGGCTTGGCCGGCCCCGAGCATGGGCGACGCGGCCGCGGGAGTGGGCGTTTGCGTATTGGGAAGCGAATGGGCGCTCTGGCGCTGCTGCTGCAGATGTTGCTGCTGGAGCCGCTCGAGAGACTGCTGAGGGGACGCGATACCCATGGTGTGCGCATGGGGCGACATGGCCGCCTGCGCAGTCATGGCATGGGAGCGATAAT